ATGCTCCTATTAAAGAAGCCTCAAGGATGAGAAGTGTCTTGGGCTTTCTGTGAGCATTCGTCAGTGCTTCATCTATTAAACCAGTCGTTTCCTGTGTGTTTTAAACAGTGATCCAGTTTGGCTTCATAACACTTTTCGTGGCCTCTTTTCCACTGGCCCCTCTTCTTGCCCTCTTCAACAACATCCTGGAGGTGCGAGTCGATGCTTGGAAGTTTACTACACAGTTCAGAAGGCCAGTGGCAGCGAAGGCCCGCAACATTGGAGCGTGGAAAGAGATCCTTAATGTGGTGGCCATCTTGTCCGTGGTCACGAATGTAAATGCAAACTGTTTTGTTCTGCTTTCTATTTTGACTCATCCTGTAATTTTACTGTCTTATGTAAAATTGGATCTGGATTTGAACTTCCTTCTAAATATAGTTAGTTAACTATAAGCAATAGCATTTCCTGTATAACAAAAGGTCTATTTTATAACACAATTTCTTCTACCATACTTAAAATCTGTTGTTATTTCTTTCCTCCTCTCTCTCATTTGCACTTGAGGCTTTCATTGTGGCATTCACTTCAGATATGATTCCTCGCCTGGTCTATCTGTACGCCTACCACCCAGGCAGCGAGGCCACTATGAGAGGTTACATCACCAACAGCCTCTCCTTTTACAACATCTCTCAGATCCCTGAAGATAACCTACCTGAACATGGAGAAAACCCATCCTGGTTTAACAGCTCTACCATCACAAGATGCAGGTGTGTAACCGCCTAGTGAAAACTAGTCTGTATTAGACCTACACATCGATATGCCAAATTAACAGCATGATGAATATATTGTTTTCCAGCTATCGGGACTACAGATACCCACCTGGGCATGAAAAGCAATACACACACACAATGCAGTTCTGGCATATCTTGGCTGCTAAGCTAGCCTTCATCGTCATTATGGAAGTAAGAAATTTGCATAACATAAAAGGCTTCTAATTTCAATTTAGGGGTGTACTCGCACTAGGC